GTAATTCTGCTGAACAAGCAGGGAACATATTTGGCAAAAAGTCCTGTCCATCCCCAAATAGAAAAAGTGTGCCAAAAGCAGGTAAAATCACCCCCTTTACTTTATAGAAAGCATTGAGCAGAACAAAAAATGAGTAAGGAAAATTAAGAAATACAAACATCCAAACTTGGGCCACAGTTTTCTTCATCAAAATTCTCTGAATCCTGGCCACCTCCATCTTGGTGACTCGGTACCTTGGTCATTAGCCCTAACTTGCCTTAACTAGAGGTGTGCAGGATTGTTCACCTCCAGCTGATTTAATAAAAAAATGTTAAGGATTAACTGTATGCATAACTACTGCTAATGATTATATTGACTGTGTGTATTGTCAATGAATGCCAGTCCTGTAAATGTTGATTGAAACAGATTTCTCAGTTTTTAAAGCACTTCTATCAGAATGTTTTTTACAAAATGCAATATACAAATATATTCAGTTTGTGGCACAGGTAGTCTCTCTGTCTTGTCAGTTTACTCTGTAGTGGAAGAATTGTTTCATAAAGTCCATTCATAGTATGCAAAAAGCTTTTCTCTGTTCATGCTTTTCAGTGCTACTGTAGTACAATTAAATAGAAGTACAGTAATTTCATTATTACAAGCTGCACCAGATTATCAGCTGCACCAGATTATCAGTTGCACGTCCGGGTGTTGGCAACATTTAGGTCTTTGTCCATGTATAAACTGCACCGGATTATTAGCCGCATTTTCATTCGCAGGGAGGACCCGCGTGCAACAAAGAAACAAATTAGTAACGGACTCACGGGATCGCTTGCCCTGGCCCGGCGCTGCCCCGCAGTGCCAGCAGGAGGGAGACACGGAGTCCGCTTGCGCCCACGGTGGCAGAGGGAGGGAGGCACAGATCCCCCGCCTGCCCCCCCGGGCCACGAGGCTGGCAGCACGGAGCCCCCCACCTTCCCCCACCTCCCCCCCAGGCTGTGGGGATGGCTGGAGCCTGCCTTCCCCCACCCTGTGCTGTTGGCACACAGCCCGCCTCCACCTGCCGCGCCACAGAGTAACCAGTTTGTAACAATCACGCAATCCCGGGTTTTACTGGAAGGTGCTTGGCTCAGGACCTTGGCTTGCACTTCTGGGTTGGGAAATTTCCGAACTTTTTTAATATATTGGCCACTCCTGAGTGTAAGCCACATTTCTGGGTTGGGAATCAAAATTTTAGTCAAAATGGTGTGGCTTATAATCATGAAATTACTGTACTTTGTTCTTGTATTAAGGAAATACTGGAATCTCAAGGAAATTTGTAGATATGAATTTTATTCTAAGAAGAAATAAGTAGCTCCTGTTAAACACATCTACAAAGGCCTAAATGGTTCATTAAAAGAAGTCTTTAAGATGGGCCTTTATTCGTCTTCTGGTTTTTTTTCTTTTCTTTTAATTATATATTATGATCTGTCAACAGCTATAAAGTACATGGATGTGTTTTAACTTTGCTGAAGATATCAGCATATGGGTATATTTAGCAAATCCAATAACACTTCACCACTCATTTTCAGAACATTTAAAAGTTTACAAAAGTGTGAAGATAAACCCCCTTAGAGAGCCTCTTGACTCTAGTGGCATGTAGTAGCAGTTCTTTAGCAGTCTTAGAAAGCATGATCCTTGTAGTTTTCAGATCAATTTGTCTAATAAAATCCAGAAAACTGCATATTTTAAAAAGTGAAGTATAAAAGAGGGAAAAGCTCAAGACAATATCCAGGTTTTTCTAATGGCAATTTTATATATGTAATGGAATCTGTACAAAAGGTGAAATCAGCGCTAAGTCCTTTGAAATCCATTGTGTTCCTGTAGGAGAGAGCTTCATCTACATGTTTCCCCTGGGAAAGAGCAGTCAGCAGGTAGGGTGTTGATGGAGCTTGTGTGTGGAAGAGCCTGGCATTTCTGGAGATGTATCTTCTGACACTGCAGAACGTAGAGTGGGTGAAAGGAAGTATAAAAAAGGGACTGGTGACTCTCCACTGCAATCCCACCTCCTCCTCAGCCCTTGCCTGCAAGAGCTGGCAGCACAGTGCTGTTGAAAGAGCATTAGCTGAACACAGATGGCCTCTGAGAAAGCGTTCGTCCAGCCCTCTCTGATCTGAGTGGAAGCTGCATGATGTTAATTGGACCTTCCAGAATTAGTCAAATTTCTGATGCGACTGATTCTTGAACCAGTCTCTGCTTATATAATGTGGAAGATTTTGGATTCAGGGATTATGTTACAGATAGCCAAGTATACATCTAAAGGTCCCGTTCAAGGAAAATGCATAGGTACAGCTTTAAACAAAACAAGTTGGGATCGAGCTCCTTAACATGAGACTTCTTATATCTGTGTCTAATATGAAACAAAGGCTAAAAATATTTTGCCAATATATGGATTATTTGCATTGGCATGATGAAGAGCTTTGCTACAGAAGCACTTGTAGAAAGAAAACGCAAAACTATTATTTCCCACAGAGCTAATGTGGGAAATAATTTGCTTTTGAGACTATTTGTCCTGAAAGTAGGAAAAGCCTTTTTGGGTCCACTGATAAATGAAACAAATATCTCTGTTCTAATAAGGACTGGAGTTTATTGTTACGAAAGACGATAAGAATTAGGGAAATGCCTAGAGAGCACATGCTTAACTAGAGATCTCTGTATGCTGAGTTCAGTTAGGCCCCTTCTGTTTTCTCTGTCAGTTCTTGTCTTACCCTATGTTCTTTCCCTTCTGTTTCCTCATTTTTATTTGTGTAAGCCCCCTTATTATGTCCTTTCCAGTCTTAGAATTGGTAGTTACTTTTTCCTTGATTTCTTTCCCTTACCTTTCATTGCCATTTTTCTCCGACTCTGTGCCAAATTACTTATACTCTTCACTCTATATTTCATTTCTTTCCTTGTCATTTACAAGCAATGTCTGACCTACTTTTGCTGCAGCAATTCTGCCTGCCCATAATAACAAAACAAAAAAACCCCACATATCATGCGCCTAAACAATGATCCATGATCTTCAGAATTGCTTAACAGCCACCAACCTCCCAAAAACAGTTTTTTTGCTCATCCCTGCTCGTTCTGTTGAGGGCAGTGTGCAGGCATGATTCAAGCCACAGCAAATGCCAAGGATATTCTCCACATGGAGAAAAAACAAGGTCAGAATCAAACCAGTTTGATTCTCATATCCTACAATCATTCAGGGCTACAACCTTGAGTCCTCAAACACCTCCGTCCACCCTCACAATAGAGATCAGGGAATGCTCATTGGTCATTGTACAGATAATACATGATTTCAGGTCTGATCTAAGCAAAAGATATATTTTTATTTCACAATACCTTTGGATTTTGGCAGTACGTGGGTCTGAGAGAAGGCCTAGGGACAAGCTGTTTGTAATGTACATTTGACTACTCTGCTTTAGAAGAAAGTGCATTTGTGCTGTGAGCTTGTCTGTGCCACTTAGTGTCAAATGAGAAATCAGCCTCAACACGTTCTATATACTGCTGTAGATTTATCCAAAGGACAGACAAGGACTGGCTTTGTAAATACCTCCATTTTCCTCATCTGCATTCCTTATTCTGGCATCCTTAGCAGGAGGGATCTCTGGACACTCTCCAGAGGAGAAAGTGGCTGGGAGCAAGCTGCCTCACTGGTGCCTTGAACTAGAAGTCCCTCACAATGGTCAAAACTAGTCACTCTAATATTAAACTTCACAAATGCAGGAAGATTTTTCACTGAACAGGCCCTGCCACCTGAACGTGGGGTTTTCAATGAGACCTGCCAGAGCACAGCTCTGCAACAGGCACAGAAAAGCAACAGTGAAATTGAAGTGATGCTTATTTAAGGATGTGAAACTTATTATTGGAGGAAACTTAATCTATGTGTAGATTGCCTTCTTTTGTGCCTAGAAAAGAGCCTATCTTCCACTGAAGGCTCTCAAGTTTCATTATTTTTGTTTCAGTAAGGACTACCTGAAATTACAGAATTGGTTGTCAAGGAGTCTATATTTACTACATTTTAAGATGACAGCTATTTAGTCTAATAAGAGTCTCTGTCATTAGCAGTCACCACACACACAGACACAGACACACACACAGTGGATTTTGAAGCCCTTTAAGCCTCCACTGAAGTTTTACTATTTCACTGACTCTAACGTCCTTATTTTATCAGTTTGCTTATTATTGTTATGAATTTTCGCAGGTTTAGCATGGTTGCTCCATTGTCCTAATTTTTTCACCTAAAGTTGCAATCACAAAGGCAAAATTCACCAGTTTCATTTGAATGAACATCCTTAAAGATTCAGGACTCGTTTATTTTGTTCCCAAATGCCTTCAAGTTGTACCTAAAGGTATAAAAAGCACCAGTAGATGGCTCTGTAGTTCCTGAATTATAGGCAAGGAAACGGGAGGCTTTGATAGCTTTGACTTTTGCGAGTAAATTTGATTTGGTGACACCAATGACAGGAATAAACTTCATGCCGACTTGCTGAAATGGGACACTTCCATTTGTTATGCCACACCGTTTCCAAATAGCCTGTCCGTCCCCGACTCACATCGACCTTGAAGATTTCCAAGGAAGCAACAGGAGTGCTGCTGTCCTGTGCAGGCAATGGCTCCAAATAAATCATCAGCAGCCTCACTCCCAGCTGATTGGAGAGGCAGAATTACCATTGCCATGTGCTGCTTGTGGCAGAGGGATGGACATGAAAGAGTGGAAGCTGCTACAGATGCCTGAGCCCAGTGGTGCTGTCCCCTGGTAAATGGGATTAAAACAGCATGCTGAACATATGCTTGCACTCAGAAAAGGTTGTTTCTGTTTCACTTCAAAATACTGAGAAAGGAAAAGATAAAAGCAGGAAGGAAATGCATTGTTAAAACAAATACAAAATCTCCCCCCACCTTAAACCCAAAGAAAAATCCACAAAAGACCCCAACAAAAGCAAGCTAACAAAAAATCAACAAAAAAACCAACAAAAAGCCACTTCTCCCACCCTCNAAAAATAGGCTTTTATAAATCAAGGAATTTAATATCTTTTTAGAGGCAATTTAGAGGAAGTAGTAGGATTTCCTCTCTGTACAACCCTCATTCTTGAGTGCAGGACCTGGGTGGGCTTTGAAAGTTGACAGAGAGTTTAAGCATGCTTGAGTGCTCTGGCACAGGTCAGCAGGGTCCCCTTGGTGTATTGCTCCACAGCTTAGACTCCTTTGAATATGTGCAAAAGTTACTGCAGGAAAAGGGGATTTTGAAAATTTATATGTGGGACTCTGCACCGAGTATAAATGTTGGCTGTATCTAAATGTGAATTAATGTATCTAAGTTAAAAATATGGGAATAGTGTGAAACTCTTTAGAGTTTGAAAATGAGCAGGGAGCAATTCAATTTCTAACAAAGCAAAGCAGTTGCATCTGTAACAACTGAGGTGGTTATCTGTGTGTTTTAACTAAAACTTGTATGAAAACAACATAAGAAGTTTGGGCTGACTGTTTTCTATGACAGGACACCCAGAAGTGGCATGCCGAGACTAAATAAACCAAAATAAGTTAAATTTATATGTTAGTTTTCCCCCGTAAAGTAGATCCCAGCTTTAAGTGGCATCACAGAACTGACAAAGGCTGATGCTCCTTCATTTCAGATTTACAGAATTATCCTTATCCCCTTTCCAGTCTGGAATGGGAAGAATGAACACTGCAGACATATTATACTTCAAAATCAGAATTCAAAATTTTACCTAAAATTGTTGAAACTCCTCTCAGAAAGCTACAGGGAGAGAACAGATAAAGCAATCCACATATAGTACAGAAAAAAAAAATTACTCTAGACACTCCATGGTCTTGGTTTTTTCCCCAGACTGTCTACTGTTTGGAAGTGCCTATATATAGTCAGTTTTCATTCTAACCACTGGCAGATTACCACAATGTGAACTATGCAATTCATATTATGTGGGATAAATGCAATAATTTTACTGAA